GGGCCACGGGGCTGCATTGGCCGGGAGGGGCAGGGGGCCGCATCGCCCCGGTTACCGGGGCTGGGATGCGCTTAGGCCTGTCCTTAGCGCCGAGTCGGGGTCTGCCCTGCCCGGCTGTCCCCACCCACCGCAGGGCCGCCTCCGGGGCGGCTGGAGCGCGCCACGGCTCTGGGTGTAAAGGCAAGGCCTGTTCAACGTGTAGCTCTGGAGCCAGGCGTGGCCCGGTGGCTCCTGCACCCTCCGGGAGTCCCAAGCCTGGTTTGGTTTTAAATAAATACCGGTAGTCTTCCAACCCTGGCACGATCGAGCCGCCTGCTGCTGGCTGCTGTCCTGCAGGAGTCACGCGGGTGAGGTCTGCGGTGACATTTCAAGGAGGGCAGAGTACTGATCAATCACAAGAAACCCCTGGAGCGGTTACAGTAGCTGAGGGTGGAAGACAGGTCTTATTTTTCTCCTGTTTCACCAGTTTCCTGGACTCCAGGTTTTGGCAGCATTTTGTGTGCCATTAAATCCTTTGTTCTGACTCTCCCAGACTCGTGAAGGTGTGGGTGAGTTCAGGCACTGATCAGGGACTGAAAGCGAGTAAGCAGCAAACAAGCAATGGTGCTGCACAGAGTTAGAGGGCACGGGGGAGCTCTAGGTCCTCAAGCTCGCTCAAAAGAGACTTCTAAAGGTCAGTAGCTATACACACGTGTAAATCTCTGTAATTAATAATAACAGGCTAGTTTTATATATTCATCAACTGCAATTCAGTTTGATAGTGTTCTTTTCAGATTAAGTAGTTCTCCTGTGGTTATAACCCTTTTTTGAGCGGATTAGGAAAATGAAGGTTTTCCATAAAAGTTTAAGCTTAATAGGAATTGGATCAAAGCTGGAGCAAGCCCGTAGTCCAAACTCCAGCTACGTGGTTGGGGATGTGGACGTTAGAAACAGTATCTGCTTTGTGTCACAGATCTAGCTGTACTTGCCTGCTACAACGATGGACAGCGAAGTGCAAAGAGATGGCAGAATCCTGGATTTGATCGATGATGCGTGGAGGGAAGATAAATTGCCGTACGAGGATGTGGCTATCCCTCTGGTAGGTGAATTGCTACTTATCAATCTAAGTTAAGACTGGTGTGTTTATCACAGCCCCTTCCAAAAAATGGCACAGAGAGTATTGCTTGTGGTGCAGCTAATGTGTACAAAATGTTCCCGGAATGGATCTGACTCGCTGTTTTTCTGTCCTATATGCCAGTCATTCCTGTGTGCAGACAAGGACTTGGCTGTTTGTCTCCACCTTCCCCTGACCAGTTGCCGTATCTCCTCGGAACTGGAGTGCCCTTCCCATCGCACAGTTCTGGGTTTGGCATCAGGGAGAAGTAGAATCATCCTTTCTCTGTGCTTCCCCTTCACGTTACTAGTGTTTGAAGTGGTTTCCCAGTTGGTTTGTAGAACAGAGAGGATCGGTCTCATGCTGACAGGTGCAGTCTTGGTTACACTTTATTTCCACTTTCTGAAATGCCATTAAAAGAAGCTGAAAATTTTTCAAATGTCTTCCTAATCAGTCTTTTCCAAATAAACTGTTGCTGTTGCCAGTTCAAGGATAGTAGTGAACGAACTGGCATCTGCAGTGGGACTCTTGCTTGTAGCACTGCATCCAACGCATGGCAGTTATCTTCTCAGGCAGCGTACAGCTTGTTGTATAGCTACGAGGCCAGAGAGGTGCAGCTGGGGAAAAGCTACCTCTGATCCCACAGATCCCCAAGTTGGAGCTTCAGATGTCCCCCACTGATGTCTTCCTTAGCCATTTGGGAACTACCAGGGAAGTGAGAGGTATCTGAGGATCTTCCCTTTCCTTGTTCTCTCTGGTACACAAGCTTTACCCTGGCTAGCACTGACAAAGCAGTCATGCTAAGATCATGGGGATTGATAGGCTTCTGGTTTCTTTTAGCACAGAGACATTTCCAAATCGCCAGTGACATGGCTCAAGCTTTAGCCTTCACACCACTGTCTTTTCAGAGAGGGCAAGGAGCAGCTACACACCTCCAAAATCCATATACACAGCACACAAGTTTTCCTGCCGAGATTTGGGCTTGAGGGAATGATCTTGCAGAGCTGTGATTCTCAGATACAAGAGCCCAAACCCACTTTTTCTTGGGATAACCTTTATTAGGCAGGCTGAATATGATAAACTAGTTTCTTGCTGACATTTGCCTTTACCCTGTGTCCAGACATTACTGTTTCTTTCCTTACAGCCATCTCTTGAGCTACGTACAGTCACATACAGATGGCAGCCTCAGAGCAGGAAGCCTCATCAACTAACAATAGAAAGAAAGGCCTGGCTGTGGATATAAAGATCCCCGGGGATGGGATTGGCTCTGATCACATAGGAAAACCAGCACAAATTCACAGGAGACTTACTCAGCGGCATTGTAAAGGAGTGAACAGAATGGCTGTAAAGTGGTATTTGAGCCTGTCCTGAGCATCTGATCCAGTGCTCACTCGAGAGATTCCTATGAACTCAAATGGGCTCGAATCATATGCTGTTTTCAAAACTGAAAAATTTTATTTTGCTCATGCTGGGATTTCCAGAGATATAGAACTCAGAATTCTTGCCCAAATGGTGTCTGGCAGAATAACACGCGCTCTGTGTGACTGCACCACTACAGCAACACAGAGAACAAATAATGTAAGGAAGGAAAACGAAATCTCAGTTAAACTATACTTCCTCCTTACTGTGTCGTGAGCAGCTCTGTGTTGCACCTGGTAGGGGTTTCTGACTTCTACTGTTGATGTAACACAGCCACACCTGTGTTCAGCATGTAGAAAGAGGAAGGATTTCTCACCTGCCATAGGAAAGTAACATGTTACAGTTGTCTTAATAACAGCTATAATAAATGTAGTATCTGTATTCTTGGCAACAGAAAAAGAAACACATTGCAAACAAGCAATGGAATAATTGCATCATACTATTATTTACTTATTTTGCATTTGCTATATATTCTCCTTCTTCACTGCATGTGCAGTCTGAGTGTATAGCAAGGCCCCAGGGTCCTGGAAAACCAATTCACCTTTCAGATTAAACACCATATTCACATGAAAAGAATATTGTTCATAACTGGGCTTAGTAATATTTTCAACTGGATCAGTATGTATGATATGTATTGTTCAGATACACCCTCTGGTCTCGTCTGTGAATTTTTCTGTTTATCCGTATGAAGTCTTAGTAACCCACTCCTTTCAGGAAGCGTATTATGTGTGGGATGTATTGTACGTCTTTTTTGTTCTCAGAATGAGCTTCCTGAACCAGAGCAAGACAATGGTGGCACAACCGAGTCTGTGAAAGAGCAAGAAATGAAGTGGACGGATTTGGCTCTCCAGTATCTCCATGAAAACGTTCCACCCACGGGAAACTAGTGAATCAGTGAGATCGCATGCAGTGGATGCATGAATGCAATGTAAAAAATATTTTTCAGCTGACCATCGCTGTCATAAGCTTCTCTAAGGAGGAAACGACGTTTCTGAAAAAGGCTCAAATTCAAACAATGGTTCTATTCACAGTGATGAAACACAAGTTTAAAATGCTTCTATAATGAGTGTGAAATAACAATGGCTATCTCATACCTCAGAGCTAATATCAGAATGTTTCTCTTATGTAAAATTATTTCATATCTTCTGTTACGTTGTTCTTAAGTTGGTGCCAATTCTGATCTTAAATGTTTTCTACATGTGATAAAAGAAATGGTTTTTACTGTCTCAAGTTGTTATTGATTTCAAAGCTCACGATGGGATCATTTCTGACTCTGGAGGCTTATGTCCCAAGAAGTATTCCTGCGTAGTCTGTGGTCAGAGTTCAGTGTACAAAAAACAAATAACCGTAAGTCAGTTGTTACCATCTTTAACTAGTGTGTGGCTGAGGAAGGTTGTGTCAGGCAGGCATGAAAGATTGGTCAATAGGATTCAAGTGATCTGTAAACACAGGTGGTTATTTGAACTCCGCATCTCAGGATTGGACGGTGGCGGTGGACAGCACTTGCAGTGCTGACATCCTGGGTATGTTTGCCAATACACATACTGTAAATAGTCTAATTTATGCTAAAATGGTGGTTACTCAAAATCATTGTCTTTTGAGGGATGATTGAGAGTTACAAGGAAGAGCCTGCCAGTCCCGGTGTACCACCTGTTGCACTGATAGCCACTTGGATGAGCTGTCTCAGATGAGAAACGGAAATCTGAGGAAAGTGATGGGGAAAAGAAACAAGTGGGGCTTAACTTCAGGCAATAAATTGTTACCTCTTTCTGTGCTGAGAAGAAAGGCAAGGCCCTCCTGACTTCCTTATCTCATTTTATGTCTGATTCTCAAATGTCTTTTGCAATAGGTAAAAGCCTTCTGTTCATCTTGCATGTTTCACTGTTGGACCAATTCCTTCACACCATTGGCAGAACTTGCTAAGGAGAAAATATTTTGACAGAGTTTAGGATTACTGGTAGAGGTGAGAAAGGAACTGGAAGGAAAACAATGTTTCAAATTATTTTCTTTTGCCAGTCCATCAGAAAAAGCACTTTCCTGGAGCTTGCAGCTTCCGTACTCCACAGAAGTTTCTTGGTGTCTTTTCTCAATGTTTATCCTCTTCAGAATAACAAAAACCAACTTTTGCTTGTGTGATTACCAAATGGAATCACAGCACGGCACATGTCCTGTGAGACTGTGATTGCTGAGCTGCATGAGGATGGAAAGGCTCAAGGTGCTTGTGAAAAAATCACATGTGTTGCTGGGTGCGCTCCTCTGTCTGAGGTGTAAGCCGTGCCTGCACTAGACAAGCAGCACGCGCTTGTCTGAACAAGAAGGAGCTGCAGACAGCCAGCAGGCAGAGTTAAGGATTAACCCAAGAATTAGCAAAGTCAAAAAGCTTAGTATGTGCAGCATGGACCAAAGAAACAGCTCTGCAGCTGGGAACTGTAATAGTTCAGCTCCTCATTGGATCGTGACCGGGGGAAAAAAACAGAGCCTGTGCTTAATGAGGTGTTTCTGATCCTCCCCATGTTCCCTTTCCCTGGCCTACGTTAGGAGAATTTGCAAAGAAAGCATTAGGCAAAGCTACCACACAGCTTCTATCCAGCAGCCATCCCTGTTCTCTCTTCCCCTCCCCTCTCTCACCCCTTTACAAACTCCTCACCACCCTCATCTTTCCAATTTTGCCGCTAGATCTTCCAGCTCCAATTTCAGACTTCCTTTCCTGCCCCTGACAGTTGTCTTTGCATCTGCCATCTTCTTCCTCCTGTCCAGCAAGGAAAAAAAAAGCCTTTCTTACTTGAATTAGAGCTGGATTCATGAGGTTCCAGCAGGTCTGCAAGAAAATGTGGTGGGGATGCCAGATGTATAAGTGTCATCCTAGACAGTGGTTGCTTGGCAGCCCAGTGGGGACCCAGATTGACTCAAACTGATACCTTCCCTTAGTCACGACATCGTGCTGTGCATCTGCCTCCTGCCCGAGATGACAGGATAGTTAGAAGGGATGCTGGGCCACAGTGCTCAGGAAAGCCAGAGGGACATGGGAGAGTAGGGATCATCATGAATGCTACCAACGTAGGGCCCTGTGAAACCAAGTTCTGGCCCTGCCCAGATGCTTATCAGACTTGCAGTGACACCTACATTCTTTGCTGCCTTTTGACATTCTTTGCAAAAGACAAATAGACACACAATGGATTTCCTTAGTTTCAACACGTGTGGTCAGATTGCTGCTTATAGCAAACCATTTGTGTCTTTGATTAGTCATTCCCCAGGGCAAACTATATTTAAAATAAGAAAACCTCGTAGAATAGAAGGTGCCCCACCTGTTTAAGAAGAAGCTTTAGTTGTATAACTAAAGACTGGTCTTAATTTCTTGGCTGGTAACTTCCTCCTTTCACCACACCTACGGTTACTGGCAGACAAAGAGAGCAAACTGTTGTCAGAGACAGCAGACACATGCCAAAGAAATTGTGGGATCCTTAAAAACTTTTACCTGTAGAAGTTCCATGTAGAAGTCCATATGCTGGGGCCGTGTGTCGTGTTCATCTACCTTTTGTATGGGGTGAAAACAGGTAAGAAATCAACCGTGTGTTTTGAATGTTTTTGTCAAATATAACATGCTTTGTGTTTTGCAGAACCATTAATATATCTACCCTCTGCATTATAGTTACTGCCTAGGGTTTTTCACTAACATTATTTATTTTTGCAAAGCAAATTATACTGGTTATATGAATGTAGTCAGCTCTAAGAGTTCCAAATGTAAAACCAGAAGTCATTTTTATTATCTTTTCCTCACTTTGCAAACATTTCTCTTACATAAGTACTATCCATCGACACTGAAAATGTCATTTGAAATCTTCAGAGAAGAATGATTTCTTTTCAGCAGTGTCTTATATGACAGACGCGAAGGATGAATTGCCATTTATGAACAATAAATTTCATTTTATATCCTCACAGCCCTATCAAGAATCAACCTGTGTAACAATAAACAAATGTACTGCCTTGTGTTAGCATACACATGGGAGCAACTCAAGTT